GAGCCAGCTGTCCCAATTAAACAGACAAAATTAGAAGTGCAGAGAGGTGCCCCTCAGTATATATTTAAGTACAGGCATATAAAATCTGATTTTGGACTACGAATGCACTTCTCCAGATAAGGTTTTTCATAAGACATTCAAGGAAGCAATGATGCACAAAGCTGGAAAAGCCCACAAAAGCATGTTAAGAGCTTCATTAACTCACAGAAAGACAAATTATCTAATAAACAGAGAAACTTAAAAACTGGCACAAAGCTTCTTGATACCACTAAAGCTTGATTTAGATTTCTGCAGGGAAATTTACTTTAGAATTTAAAAGTTAGTTTATAAGCTACTCCGTTTCCAGCTTTGAGTAATTGCTCAGCTTTGCTCAACGAACAAATGTTTGTGTATGAATAGTTTAGCCAGATTGTATTTATTTATAAGCCTCCGATCAAGCTCAGAGCACATTATATCTATCAAAAATGAAGTCCTCACAGTCCTTAGAACCTGAAGTGTAAGCAGGAAGTAGAATGTAGCATTTTCCAAGATCATCCGATTGATCTCAAAGGCAAATTTGGATTTGCCAAAGTTCTTTGGAAACCTAAACTGGTTCCCAGTGTGGAATTACACACTTCAGTTCATCTACAAAGTTATTTTTGCAGTGATTGGAGTAAATGATCGCCCCTAGCTTTCATACTAAAAGGCATTTGATCTGTTTTATGATCTTGAATAAACATCCCTGTATTAATGCATATCCCATCAAGTCAGACAGAGCTATATGTAGGATACTTAGAACAATTTCTCTAATACATTAATTAGAGCCATCTCATCCTGCTATTGGCTTTCAAGTACCTTCGAGTGGCTCATTAGAGTAGCTAAATTTTCGAAATTTGATAACATACCAACGATTAACCTGCAAGTACTTTGGTTTTGTCAAAACACATAACAGGGACATATACTGTAACTGTAAAACAGCCTACCAGAGAAAGCAGCTGATTATGAGTAACATAGACTGCAGTCCTACTGAGGCCTTCTAGAAGATTCATTGAGGACATGGGTGGGGTTTCAACTGCTCTTCCTCCAATCACCACATCCAGAAAAGCAGCAACACAACTCTGCCAAACAGAGACCCAGAAAACACATCTTAGTACATAAGGCCCCTCATTTTTAACCCCAAAAACCCAAACAAAAAACACATTACTCTCTTTACAGAAACAGACCTACCTTATCAAACTTGGACAAACTGCTTTTCCGCCTTGGGTCTGCATCATCGTCGGCCATTGCCAACTGCTGCAAAAGTTGCCCCACCTGTATGGCAAAACAAAAACATTGTAATCCCATCCACAACAGAATGGCCGTGTATATGACATTACAAAGAGAAAACGTGCTGCGCCACTTGCCTGCATTAAATTGAAGCGAGCCACTTCATTGATCGGTGCGTCTGAGATAATGCCATACTGCTCTGGGTTAACTATAGCTGGACAAATGAAGCAGGTCAGCAGCAGATCTGTACACATGGTGCGCACCTCTCCCACCTCAAGACGCTCTACGCATGACAAAGTCTTGTACATCTGGGACACGATCCAGCGCAGGCTGTGAGGAAAGCAGTAGGTGTTCTGCTTCAAGTA